AATAAATTTCATTATTTATATATTCCAAAATTTCAAATTTCAAAATTTATATATTTCAAAACTTCAAAACTTCAAAATTTCAAAATTTCAAAATTTCAAAATTTCAAAATTTCAAATTTATAAATTCCAGAATATCAAATTTATAAATTTCGAACCTTATTTTATACGTGTTTCCTCAAAATATTAGATTCATCCTTAATACAGTCGAAAGTTAATGATTTCAATGACTAGGTAACAATACGATACAATGTTTATTATCTTATTCTAGTGCTCCATCAATTCACACTCAAATCAGATGAATAATCAGATATCAATTAATTTTTATGATAAATTCCTATTTGACAAATCTTATCTTCTCAACGAAAACCGTACAGTTCTTTCACTCATTCTTGAATGATACACTTTCATCCGAGATAAACCTATTTTGAATGAATACTTACTAAATTTTATATAACATTAATTTATTAATAAGTTTTAATACGTAATACATTAACGAAATTTTAATTATATGTATTATCTTCGATTCAGTCTTATAACGATAAAGAAGTTATTTGTGTATTTCTAATGATGTTACACATTTGGTCAATATTTATAGTCGAAACTGTCATAAAATTCGAAAAGTCACGCAACTAAATTATAACTTCGAAACTACAGATACAATCACACCGTATTACTTATCACCATGAGATACCGTGTTACTTATACTCTATATCAGATTATTTAACCTTTGATAGTTAGTAACCTTTCTTTTTTGTACATTATATTTCAGAGCGGAAATTTTTTGGCGAGCTAAATTTACTTTGTCATTCTGTCACTCTTTTATAGCCTCTGATAATGTTTCATATCCTCAATAAAGTTACGTGTGAGTGAGAGGTCACAATGCTTAACCGATGTAAATAATACGTTGTAAAATTGTTTTTTCATTTATGTATTTGTAAAGTAACGAAAATGACTGATCGGTCAATTTAATAATATCAATTTACGATTAATTACTTGGGGATATTTAATTATGCTTGATTAGATTTGATTCTAGAATTAATTGTATTATATTTCACTTGAGGATATGTAGGAAAAAAGGTGAATTTAAATTTAAAAGATTCAAACCTCTAATGCATTATTATTAATTTTTTGTGACGTTCAGATATTAATTCAGTAATATACAATTAAAAGACATTATCTAATGAAAGATGTATCTTTAATCCATTACTTCAATGGATGTTTCTTTGGTACGAGTAATCACTAGTGAAATGAATAATTTTACGAAAAATTATTTTTTATTTAAGTTTAGTCAGAAGGTAATTTTATTCTTTACGTTTATTTTTGTTATTATATTATTTAGGATATTTATTTACTTGTAGAAAATTATGAATACAATGTATCATTGAATTATAATTGTTTTTACTAATATAACCTCAAAATCCGTCTTACGTATCATATTAAAACTTATGGGAAAGTAGATTGAACCAAGTAAATACATTAGTCAGGTCGGGTACTATTGTTTTTTTAAGATAACAGCTGAGATATGCGGTTGAACTGTGGCGTCGCATTTGGGAGGTCCTCATAACATTATGAGATAAGTCCCAAACCAGTGATCATCACAGTGTTTCGCGCAGAGTAGAAAGTTTCAATGCCTTGTTGGTGAGGTGGTTGCTTTTTAATATTATAATATTCAAGAATCCGTTCAGGTAAGTACTTTTTGTATTTTATAGTCTTTACAGTGTATTTTGTCACTTTATTTGCCTTTGTGTCATACACTATAGTGTAAATATTGTAAAATAATGTTTAGAAAAATAAAAAAATATTGTAAATAATGTTTAGGAAAGTAAAAAATATTGTAAATAATGTTTAGAAAAGTAAAAAATATTGTAAATAATGTTTAGAAATTTAACTGATTTGGATGAATCCAGGTATACTCAATTTTGCCTGTTACCTATGTACAATGTATAGTGGTTTTCAATGTTATTTTCTTTTTAATATTATTGCAAGCAAATGTTATGTAGCTTTTTTTTACAATGTTCACAATAATATGGACTGTTTGGTAAGTCATAATCAATGTAAATAATTGAATGCTTTATTAACCAGTTGGTTTAATGAAAATGTTACAAATATTTACCTACTTGTGATTGTAGGTATTTTTTAAAAACTAACAAAATATTTGTCATTTCTTGAAAATTATTCCTTTTTTCATAAAATTTCTGTACTTGCATAGTTCGCTATTGTTTATTGCAATTCTTTATTTTAGCAATTAAACATTAGCCACCTGAAAGATAAAACAGAAATGAATGTAAACTTGTTAAAATATCTTTAGTGTTGTTTATTTGTATTCGAATGTATACATTGGAATATGTTGATACCGAGAAAATTATATTTATCAAAATTACTGTATGGTAGATCGCAGATTAGATAATACGTGCTTCGAAGGAAGCAAACATATCTCGTATGACGCCATGCGTCGCAAATTGCTCTACAATTTCTTGTTTTAAAATACTGTAGCATCCTAATAAGTCTCTTATCCGGACTTAGTAAAAAAATATTTATTAAGTATAAACCCTCTTCTGGTAAATTAGTTCCAAGACAAATTACCAGTTCATAGAACATTTACTGAAGATCTCAGCAGCATGGCCTAAAATTATGTGCGCTTTAACTACAACAACTCTGCGGCTTAGGGTCAAGTCCTGAACGTTTGGTGATGTTCACTCGAGTAAATTCTTCTGCGACAGTTGGGTGAATGCCAACTGTTTCTTTCAGTTTCGGGAATGTTAAATTGCACCTGGAACAAATAATATTGAATAAGATGCTGGGCTACACTTCAATAATGTAGACGGAAAAGTGAAGAATCACGTAAATTATTGATGCAATGCATACTTGATAGCAGCAGAAAAGCCTTGAATAACTTCACCAGCATGAGGACCAACAAAATGCAGGCCAAGCACTCTTTCGTCACCACCTCTAAATGCGACAACTTTCAAGTAACAATTAGTAACGTCCTTCTGTGGGATGAAGAACTCAGTTGGTTTGTAGTACATGTGGTAAACTTCTATCTTATCCTCTCCATGGTGTGCAATTGCAGCTTCCTCGCTGAGACCGACACAGCCATATTCCAAGGGACTAAACACTGTTGTTGCCACATTTACGTAATCCATTTGCTGCGTCGAGTTTCCAAATAACCTTCTTGCTAGTAATCGTCCAGCGTGTATAGCAACGGGCGTCAATTCCGGTTTTTTCTGAAATGTACATTGCACCATAATACTGGCTACTTTAACTTTTAGGAAATTTAGTTTTTTCATGTTTACAACTTCTAATGTACTAAGTTATACTTATAGCAATAATTAAATGTAATTGCAAACTTACATGGAGAACGTCACCGACAGCATATACATTGGGAACATTTGTCTGTTCATCGATCGCATCAATCTTATCGGTTTCAGGAACAAGTTTGAGATTAATATTTTCAGGTTTCAGTTCTTGTGTTAGTGGTTTACGGCCAATAGCAAAGAGAATAGTGTCGTAAACATCTTGATGTGTTTTCCCGTCCTAAAATAGTTTGTAGTTTATAACTTTCTGGGGATTATACTGTTTTTTCATTTGATAGAACCATAAGACCATACCTTGTCGACCCAATGAACGAGAAGCCTACCATCATCTTGTTTTTCAACTTTCGAAGGCTTCGCCTGGTAAATGAAGTGTACACCTCGTGTTTCCATTTCTCCAGCAATAATATTTGCCATTTGCTGATCGAAGCCTCTTAAAACTATAGAACGTACCATCACTGTTGCATCATATCCTAAACCATTTAAAAATCCTGCACACTCTAAACCAATATCTATTCATTTATTAAGAACAATACTTGTTAGGCTAAAAACGAAACTAAAGAATTCAAATTTGCATTCTTCATAAAAAAGGATACATCCTGCACCAACAACAAGTGTTTTTCCTGGAGCATTCTTTAAACTAAAAATGTCATCGCTGGTTATTCCATATTCTACAGCACCGGGGATATCAGGGTATCTCGGTCTACCACCTACAGCAATTAAAATATTTTTTGCTGTAAATACTTTTTCTTCTCCATTTTTCATTTTTCCGCATATTGTATGTTCATCTTTAAAGTATCCTTGGGCATTGATGTATTCAACTTGTCTGTAATAGAAAAGAAGGAATATCCATAAATGAGTTATCCTTACTTCAATTATAATGCAACTAACAATTCAAATTTCTATTTTATTCATCTCAAGAATTCTAGTAATACTTACTTTGTTCTAAGTTCAACACGTGTTACCCAATTCACAGACTTTATATGATTTTGTACAGCAGTTCTTAGTGCTTCCCAGTCATGCACAATAGTTTTTGGGTCTGGCAATTGCCAACCATATGCCGCTGATTCCTAAAAGATTAACACAGTAACATCAAAATGCACTTTAAATTTAATAAATAATTCCCGCATTAGAAAACATACATGAATAGCTTCTCCAAGTAGAGCGGCTTGATGCATTAATTTCTTTGGTATACAACCAACATTCACACAAGTACCACCCAAACCCCATGTTGAACCTTGTGGAGAAGGTGTCACGAAGTCAAGAACAGCAACTTTGGCACCTAAATTCACTGCCTCCTTTGCTGCAGCCAAACCACCAGACCCACCGCCAATTACAAGCAAGTCATACGTGAATTTTTGATCCGCTAAAAAGAACAAATGACACTTATAAATACTACAATATAGTCTACAAACTCGTTTACATCTGGTAAAAGGGATTATTCAAATGAAGATTCTACTATACAAAAAAGGTTATGTATCCAACGACTATTTTAACACAAAAATACGATGTAAATCGAAAAGACATTCTACTAAACCCAGAGAATACTTTAAATAATAATATACAATATTGACCAATTTCCACATAAACCAGCAAATTATGCAAATTCACTACAATCGATTTTAACCTTGCCGGCACATCGACCAGCTGTCACCAACACAACACAATTTCCGTGGATCATCGCAAACGGAATTAATCCGTATTTATAAACAACTATCACTGAACCCTGACACTCACTACACATACAGGCCATCATCGTGCGTCCATAAGGGAAGGCCCTACACTGGGACCACGGGAACTCGAGCAATTTTGCGTGTGCAGAACGAACTGACACAAGCCTGGCGAATAACGTTAATGTCGCCATGATTATTGCGAGCCGTTCACGGCTAGGTGACGTCACCCTAATGACACTCGTGTTTCTTTTCGCACGATATAATACTTAAGGACCGCACGTTCGACCGAGTCACGACGAGTACTACAAGAAGCAATGAGGTCGATCCTGATAACCGGCTGTAATCGCGGATTAGGACTAGGCTTAGTGAAACACCTGGTGAACCAGCCGCAACCGCCACAGAATATTTTCGCGACTTGCCGAAACGTGAATAAAGCAAGGGTAAGATTAGCCGCAAACTAAATAAAAAGAGATATTACGCAACGGTCGGTTAGGTTTCGTAAGTTCGACTTACCAATCGGTGCCATTGTCGACTTTTCCTATCACTATATGTGCTCGAGGAAAATATATAACGAATAGTAGTAGTTCAGTTTCACAAGACCGTTAACAGAACTCGATCCTCCACACCTGCACGATTTCTTGATACTGAAAGACAAGAGCGAACTGATGCCGACTTCATTCATTCACCGCCATCTATTATACGGTTGCTACAAGCACACGATACTTTAAGTCTCATTTATAGTGACTCATAGAATTCGCGTTTTTCGATTACGCAAGTCAACCATGACGTGCAAGTCATCGCAGATTTCGTTACAGAATGAACCTTAGAAACCGGTTTACTCGTACCATTCTGATTTCGAGAAGGTTACTGATGTACTCTCATGGAAACTGTCATAAGGCTCATTTTTTTTTTCATTTGAATATTTCCCAAGTCATTGTATGTTACAATTGGTCATGCGTTTTCGCAATCGAATATTGTAATTCTATATTGACGCGTATGTTCTGGAATAATCTATAGATTATTTTTATCGTCTATGTGTTAAATATTCTTAGATACGTAACCCTTGGTTGTTAGTTACTATTAATGCAACGTACTCGTTAATAATTAATATAATCTGGAATATTCTTATTGCGATTTTTTGAGTACACTCAAGGATGATATTATTTCTTTTAGGAATTAACCGAGCTGGCCGACATATCGAAAAATATTCATATTATCGAGATAGGTAAGTGTTTAAGATAACGTATCGATAGTAAACTTCCAGTGTAATGTAGATTAACGTATCGTAGGAAACAATCTGTCACTATTATCATTAATAGTTTATTATAGAATTGTTAGACTGATCTATGACTTTATTGAAGTTTCACGTATCGATTTAAATGAAAACGAGAAGTAGGTATCTAATATCGAAGACAGTTGCTTAACACGTTCAGTGGCACATGTACCATGTACGCGCCAATCTCTGTAAGAAAATATTTTTAAATATTTGAATTGAATATTTCTAAGTATTTTTATTTTCAAATATTTGAATTAAATATTTTTAAGTATTTTTATTTTTAAATATTTCAATTAAATATTTTTAAGTATTTTTATTTTTAAATATTTCAATTAAATATTTTTAAGTAATTTCAAATATTTTTTTAACATTTTCAACTTTCTTTATTCAACGAACTTGAATATAACTTAATATTTTATTTAAAAAATCAATACAGTCCATAGGCAAAATATAACTGAAATTTCCGTGGTACGGAACATGTTAATACTGAATAAATTAAATGAACATTTGAATACAACTTTACGCTTTCTTGATCAAGTTTCTTCGAGAAAGTTGCTTACTTGAGAAAGTTCCTCTGACCTATGACAATACACCAGACTAGCACGAGTGAAGCTGGTCAGTACAAATTCAGACAGAGATCTGATTCACGCGGGATTATTGTCTGATTTTAATTGTTAATCATTAGAAAACAATATGAATTGCAATCTTTTTATTCTTCATCTTTCATTTTTCTTCTATTTTGTCTTACACTGAGTAGGTGCATGATCATCCCTAAAATTTTTTCTAATTTAATACCGAACCGTGTGTCTTTCATTTTTAAGGATATACTACTTCTTTCAAAATATGTTTCAATATTTATTAAGTAATATCAATATGAAATAAAATGTTATTATTTATTAGGTTTATCATATTCATTATTATTATTCTAAAGTAGTATTATGGAAATAAAGAATAGGAAAAACAGAGTTTAATGTTTACCCATGGTCTTAATTACAACGCTTGATACGTCTGTCGATTACGTGGTGTTTCTACTTAGGTAAGCAAATATTTCCTGTTGTGTGGTATTCTTTCTTGGTTATCAGTTAAAATAGAATACCGCGGGAAAGAAATAACATTGCGTCGTCATTAAAACGAAAACTTGATGTAAAACAATTTTATAATTGTCCATCGAGGCTTCTGTTTCCGATTTTAATTTAAACAAACAGATTCAAACGACTGGTACATTTCGAAGATACTTTAAAGTGCCATTCTCACAAAAAAAGATTATACAAACCAAACACACTTAAAACCTTGAAAAACTTCATTTGAAAACTACTCAAGAGATTTTCAATGTCAATGTTGTCTTCTTCCACTTCTTAATAAATTTGAATATTTTATATATTTATTATGTAATATTTTGATAAATGAATAATCTGCAATAGTTACTAAATGCATCGTTAATATTATATTTATATATTAATATATTATTAATATATATTTATTTTAATAAATCAATTATTATTATCAATATATTATTTATATATTGAAAATATCGTCATAATATCCACATCAAATACTCAATGAATATCAAATTAAATCACTGTTAGCAGATAACATCCTTTTGTCTCGGTTCGTGAACAAGCACAAAGAATAACCACTAACAAAGAAAATGCCAGGATACATGGAACGCCAGAGATTGCTATATGAAACGTAATCACTTGAAATAATTGCGGCTCGCGTAAACACTTGTAATCGCCGATGCAGCTATCTTATTGTTAGAAAACGGAATGGCATAATCTGACGGCAATCCGGAACGAACGGTGACACAGATACACCGCGGCCACGTGATTCCGAATACTTACCCGCAGCGTCATTCTCTTTTTTGGCAGTTTCATCCGCAGGCTGATCTCTCGTTTCCTCTTCGCTCAGATCCGAATCCACGGTTTGCGGTTTCTCGCGACAAATCAGACACCATCGCTTTTTCTTCGAGCCGCGTGACTTCATGTCAAAGCGCTAAGGTCTACAATGAAATTGTTCGTTACTGAATCCGACGAGCCAAGAATTTTATTACTGATGATTTCTATCGGGAAAATCGTAAAATTTCAGTGGGACCGTTCTAATCGGTACGTGTCGATTCACTATCTGATAATAGACGCTTCAAGATTTTTCATTGGAAGCGTGTCGAGCATTTGTTTCTTAGCGAGATAGGCTTCTTAGCTGAGAAGCGAGTGAATGATTCGGTAGAAGAATATCAGGATTGTGCTTTACTTAATTTTAAATGTCAGTCATCGATGACTAATGTTTTTGAATTACTCGAAACAATCGTAACATGCAAGATAATCGATGTCGAATCAAAATGGTTAATAACGTAATTAAGTTGATAATAGTGTAATGCAAAGATTGTAACGTTAAATAGTGAATAATTCTTGCTACTTTTCTTTGCTGAGAAGGATAACTGTACAGAAAAATGGTAAAGATTTTCGCGGCGGTTAACACGTTCGCTACCAGCGTTTATTTCGCAAAAATTGGGGAGTGTATTAATTTTTCAGAAAACGTTGTCTTGTTTCGATGAGGAGATTAACACTTCAGAGGCCACACAATCCCATAGAGCAAAATACACGAAATGGAACAAACATAATATTAAATCATTTGACTGAATTGGATTATTATAATTGCACGCTCATCAAACTGAATGTCACCGCAATGATATACCCATAGCATTATTTATTATATAGAAATGTTTGCGAATAATCATCGTTTAATTGAGTAAATTATAGTAATCCGATTTGTTTGGGGGTCACCGATGTCCCCCATGGCATTCAACGTGTTAAACAAATCGAACAGACGAATATAGTTCTATAGCTTTTCGTAAACTTCTCTTAAATATTTACTGGTGCAGAATAAAGATACTACCACGTGGTCTCTCGCTTACGAACAACAAATGCAACAGA